TCATGAGTTGGAACTGGCAGCGAGCGAAGTATGCTTAGTGTAGCCTTACATACCTCCAATTAAAGAATTGGTAACTGCTGGTAACTTTGTCAGCTCTCTGACCTACATAACTAATTTTTGGTTAAGACATTCTCATTTTTAAACTGATCTAAACTTCTTGCAAAAACAAACTGAACATTGATCATTCAAATTTTAAACGGTTCTTGCCACTGAAGAAAGGCGCGCATTATAATATTAAAAGCATCTAAAGTTTTTGATGGGAGGGCAAAGGCAGTTCAAAAACAGCTAGCGCTTTTAATTGATTTTGAAGGATTCCAAGAAAAGGAAATAAAGAGGTTTTTAGACGATTCACTGAGCCTGAGACGTAGCTCGTTTTTGCAATCATCTTACTTCCAGTCATAAATTATAGCTTCAAGACTTATTTTGAATCAGTTTGATTCTTCCAATCTAGAGCGAATTCATAAAAACTTTTAAAAACTCCAGAAAGTTGTAGAGTCCTATTAGAAAAGTGAGAGTGCAAAAATAAATTTCCTTAGGTTTCTGTACACTTCGGCCCCTTCGGAATAATCAAAAGGACGTCTCCTTCTCGATTTTTGTTCTAAAAAAATAATTCAAAGTTTATATTACATCTTATTACCATTGATGTCAACTTATGATATTAAGCTGGAAGTCTATGAGCCCTTCCTCAGCTAAATTGTGGTAAACGACGGTTTCCTTACTGTATTTATTTACGATGTTTAGTTTGTGGTATAACAGGAGTTTTCATTTCCAGGGGATCTAATGCATTCTGATTGTTCTTCAAATACCAAAAACCCAAATAAACTGAACAAGTAAGAAAAGACGAAAAATAAAGTGGTCCTAACAACAAAAGCTGTGAGATCAGCGCTTTGTTTGGTGGCAACCAATCACTTCTCCCCCTCCCACACTATTTCTTTCTTCAAATTTCCTGGGCTACATAAATTCCCAAGGATACTACCCCGAGGCAAAAATTGTTACACCAAAGGTTCTTGCCCGAACTCGATGCCTCCTAAGCACGATTTAAACCATCCGATGTAAACAATAGGGCCATTGCCCGAAAACAAATCATACCATAACAATAGGCGAAGTTTGATATGATAGAGCTGATCAAATTCATATACTTAAAGTTTTGTCACACTCATTTATTATTGATAAGTAACGTTGACCGTCAAACTGAGTGTTCTCTGTAACATAGTTAGACTGATTAGAAATTCACTTGAATCTTCCTTCTTTTTAAATCAGTGAGCACTGACTGCAATGGCTCGTTGAAATTGCACACGTACTTTGTTTAGAAACGTGCAAGCTTTTGTTCAAACATTTTATTTTTGTAACTTTCAATGTTAACTTTAGTGTGCAACTACAGCCTGTCTGTTTACATTTGTGGACAAAATCAAAAAAAATCCCACACTCCCGACTGAACAATGAAAGACCGTATATTCTTATACAGAACTCTGGACTTCAACAAACTGGAGACTCTACCAAGTGATCTGTTCAAGCGCTACAAGTTAACTGATCTGTAAGTTATTCGCTCGGAAGCTTAATATACTTGACTGCCACTCACTTGGAGTGATTCAGCTTCCTATATGATCGCTTTATTTAAACTGAATCTCACCCACGACTGAATCAAACCTTTTTTTAATTTTGTTTTGATGATAGGATTGAGTACTAGCAAACCACTGAATTTGACAAACATCAGGCACTTATACATATCCTCTTTAACAAAATAATTAACAGCTAGTGGGGAAAAGGCACGACTTACAAACATCCTATCTTTTACTTTGGATGACATAAGAATGGCCTATAACTTAGACATATATTTTATTAGAAATATTATTCCATGTTCAACTCAGGTTAAACGTGTTGATGTTCCTCTGTCTATCAAGATTTATCATTACCGAGTGCAATTTGGCTCGCAGGCTTACTGAAAAACGATTTTTATGTAATAATTGAAAGATGACAATATAATATACGTAGACATGCCTTAGTTGAAGGTGCCCTAATAGGAAGATTATGATGGTATGACCTGCTAGACTCAAGAACAGCAACGAATGAGTATACTTACGCGCCAATCATTGTTCGGGTAAACAAAATGAGAAATTTTCAAGCCTTCATAATATTGAGTACATGTAGATGTGAACTCTAGAACAAACCTTTAGTTAGGCAAAAAGTTGGACCTCTTGCAAATTCTAGTCAGTACAAGGAATGAAAATTTTTTCAAATGCTAATGGTATTTAACTTTTATGCATTTTACAGGTGGCTGGGAAACAACAACTTAAAAAACTTATCTGAAGATCTCTTCACAGGGCAAGATATGTTGAAATATTTGTGAGTAGCAATTACTTGACACCTTTTGAAGCAAACATTTGGGAAGTTCCTTGCTCTCTTCTGTTTCTGACGTGATCGCATGTGCCTGCAGCAGCGTGAACATGATTTCAATTGAAAACGTTTAGTTTTGTATCCAAAGTGTAAACATTTAACGGCGTAACGTTTTCAGATCTATATAGATCGTATCTACGGGTGCTGATAAGGTAGTTACGTGTTTGTGCTGTGCATTTCTAGGTGTTTGTGCGAAGGTGCTAATTACTTTGTTTGTGCAACACATTTAGAAATACCTGAACATGACTAGCACTACAGAAATTGAAAAACAGTTTGGCATGGAAAAATCGAACAAGTTACACAGTACGATCATTTGAAAGGCACAATACTGCTGTATCCTGCGGGCTCATATATCTCATATATCTTACTAAGAGTCGATCAAGAGGACAAAGAAAGGTGTTTAACACAATGGTTCTATCAATAAATTATCGATGCTAATTTAGAGGGAGTAGTGTCCTGTGGCACGTTACTTCCTCAGCATGCACAAGATTACTTCAGATGGACGAGAAGGTTTTTGGAAACGCTATGCTGCTTGACGAAAATCATTTGTAGTATATTTGATGGCTAGAGCTAAAAATTAAGAAACGAATAGTAACTTTTAAAAAACCGGTATTAAAATCCCCGGCGCCGTGTTGGAAAATAAACTGCGCAAACACCATTGCATGGCTGACAATGACCCGCGAAACATAAACATAGGGTTCAGGGCTCTCTTCTAGAAAATGTTCTCCACATTTATTCTTTAACGTGTACTAAACGATGATCGTATTTGAAGGTAGGAAAACTGCAACGATATCCCGGAGCTAAAAGCGAAGATATGATGAAACTTTGCTCTCGAATACAGACTTAAACTAGAAAATGAAGCCAAAAATGGGGATAGCGTTTATGATGTGGATATCCTAGGTACAATAATATAATCAGAGAATATCTGCCCTAAGTTTGAAATATCTTTCGTACAATAGGATCTTTTTTATCGCTTTTTATATGTAGGCGATTGGGTGGTAATCGGCTGGAAAAGCTGCCTCGAAACATTCTTCAAGGAATGTCCACATTAGAGGAAGTGTAAGTATAAATTTTGTGATTTGTTTTCAAAAATTCTTCGTCAACTTTAATATTCCTTTCCTCTGTATTGCATTTGTAATCTATAGCTCTAAAGCAGTTCAAAATATGGTTTTATACACCTCTCGTTCTTGATTTATTTATCGAAGCCACTAGTTAACCAGTCGGACATGGAGTTTGATCATTTTTGTGTGAGTAGTTCATGAACAGGACGTTCCAAAGTTCAAGAATATCACAATGAAATTTTACTTCCGTTGCAGACAAAAAAGGTGCCGCAAAACAGAGAAATTACCCTTAAAAAAACTTGACATACTTTTGCTCTCATTTTGTACGTTTTCATGCTAACTCAAAATGTTTGCTTGTAGTTTTGCATAATGAAAAGGAGACTTAAAAAAATCAAATCGTAAATTTAATAATGACATATGCATTACATTGGGTTGTTTTTTTGCTCTGGGTCACGTGACATTAGGTGTGTCCAGATGACTTCCCAGCTTGCTGGCGCTCACTTCTGTGAGCAATTGTCCAAAGCTAATCCAATAGAAAAAAAATTCGATTTATAGCCAACTGAATCCACTTTCTTCCTTAGTGGACAAGGAAAAATTTTGCACAATGTTTGCATCTTTCCTCGCTAAAATGAAAATAAATACCACGCAACTCGGAAAACATCCGCTGCCTGACAACTTTGTTAAACCATCGAATAACGCGCATCTATTTATCAAACGTAACAAAAACCCCAAAAAGTTGGACAGGGAAATTTGAATGTTTCCCAGAGAGGGAGTTTTCAAATTTTCAAAGATAACTACAACTGATTACTAAAACTGATTAATGAACTACATCTGCCTAAGACAATAATTTCGGAATAAAAAAAAGTCATCCAAGACAGAAATGACAGAGTTCCACATAGCCCTTGGAAATGTAGTTTGTTAACTATGTTTGTTTGTTTACCTTTTTTTTTCTCGCTGGCAATCAACTCACTCCCCAAACACGTTTTTTTCAGGGACTTGTCCTACAATCAGTTGCAGAGTTTGCCACAAGGGATACTAAGCAGTATTACCAAACTGAAAGTGCTGTAAGTAGGACTTTTCTATGCACTAAAAAAATGATAAAACGTTTCACAGGTCAGTGTTAACATTCATACATGGTGATCCAAACCAGTTGAGAATATCGCTCATTTCTACCTTTCTCGTAGTGAGTTTGCTCATTTGGAAATTACTGAGTAAAGTGTTATTTGAATGATAGATGTCATAATAGAATGAAAGGTCTCCCTCCCATTATTGTGGAAACAGAAGGTTTCTCATTTTTAAGGATGGAATAAATATGTCCTTTGAGTCCAGTTTCTGCATATTGGAGATTCTTGATCATAATTGATATTTTTAAAGACACTGAAAAAAAAAGCTGTTCATTCCTTATTTGGTAAAAAAAATTACTAGTATTTTATCATCAGCTAGCCGATTTGGCTCACATTACAGAAATAGTTGGGAGCGGGACTTTCCCATCTTCCACGTAAAATTTGTTGTTCTTAAATGTTAGCTAACTATTTTTCTCAAAGGGATTTGTCAAACAACAAAATTCAGCGTCTTTCCGAAGATGTTTTTGGCAACCTTACTCAGTTGAAAAGGCTGTAAGTGGCATTTTGTACGCCTTTACAACGAGTGAAATCGTAATTTTTTTTAGAGAATTTAGTAAACCTTTGCATTGGGACCATTCCAAATAGAATGCTATTACAATAAACATATCAACGTAAACTACTGCATGCACTTCACTAGCTTCAGCATATAAGAGAGTGGAGAGAGGCTGGAACCTTTCTCCGCTCTGGTATATAATGTTCACTTTAGTCATAGTTAATCGAGGGGACAGGATTAATTATGGTCTAGGGGATTTGGTCACCAACAGCGGTGAAAAGAAAATATAGATTAAAAAAGTGAAATTCACTGTCTCGCTTAGCGCTTTTCTCCACTCGACTTGTGACTTCATTTTGCTTTTTGCCAAGCGATCAGGGAAGGTTTGAAAAATTACAGCCCAACTACTACAAGACTGATTTGCGATATGAGCAACACTTCGAATTCATAGTTTCGATGCACCAACTTTGAGAAGTGAAATCCTGTCATGATATGTAAACGACCATTTAAACAGTGGAAGTAAAATTGGCACCATTTTTTCACATTTTAAAAGTCCAGGAATTAAAGGTTTAGCTACTCATCTAAGTTGTATTACCTTGAAAATAAACAGTTAAGTCTTACTGTCAATTCACGAGGTCCCTTTTGCGATAGAAAAAAACTCTCCAAGAGCCTCAAACATCAACACAGTTAACTTACTTTTTATTCCCATTGTTTTTTTCTTTTTAAGCTTTCTCTCCAATAACAAGCTTCAGCGTTTGCCAAAGTTAAAAAATCTCTCCGAGATAGAAACAATGTAAGTGATTCGTGTTTGTAATAAGAAATAGTTCAGTACGTGTCTTGTTTAATGACTGAGAATTAATGAAATAGGAGCTTTGGCTAGAAATAGAGGATCAATGTGCCTACCCGTTATTTAACTTATATTTTCATGATCTAATTAACAGCTGGATTAAGGAATTCAATCCAAAAAATATACACTAACTTTTAAAATAAATGCAGAAAATAAGAATCATCAACTATCATATTTTCAAGACACCGCAACATATGGAGGATTTTACATGACCGCGCGAAGATACGAAATTTCTCTTCGAGTTTTGAAAGATACTTTTCAACACGGGAAAATAAACTTGGTATCTCAAGGTGGCCAGGTGCATGTAATATTTTATTCATTATATAAACGCCGATAAAAAAAACCTAACCATTTAGCTTTAGCTGCAAAAGGTACAATTTATTATGGAACCTTAGTAACGGCGATATTTTTACTTGTGAATATAACGTGTTACTTTCACTCGACGCGAAAGCTCGCAAGGTATTTCATTAGTGTTTATCTACCAAAATACAATGCCACACACTACTTTATTGACGCCTCCCCATGAGGCTAAAAGCGACATGTGATAATGATCATGATGTTCAAAATCGTAACAACGAAAAAACAACGCGGTTAATCAAGGGGGTTAACAAATGTATTATTACAAAAGATTTGAGTTCATGACTATTCAAACCTCTTCGAAAAAATGTCTACTAGATAATAGGGAATCTTTTCAAAATCTATATTTAAGGTAGAATGTTAATCAGGATATAAAGTCTATAATTCTCAGGTTTTTTCTAAGAACAACAGGTCTTCAAAAGCTTCGAATTCCGTATTACGATATGAAATTTAAAGACGAGCTTTTGCTCGAGCACAAAATGAACTAGGCACAAAACCGGCCAGCCAGTTTACATCGGCTTTACGATGATGTACACCCCGGGTATATATCGTCGTTAAGCCATTATTTAACCGACAGTCAGAACAATCAGTGCAAGCGTGGTGTGATGAAAATGTTCTCGTCTCGGTGAAAGCAGTCTGGCAATGCTTTTGAATGAAGTTTGGGACAACTTTGATGAGTTTGCTGAAGAATAAGGCACGAATGTTTCAAAGAAGAACTTTTATAGGAGGTGGAAAAAACGATTTGAAAGATCTTAGCCGGACCCGACGATGAACGTTTCTAAGCCCAAATGAATGATTTAAAATGATCTTTACTGTTAAAGAGCGATAAAGAGCGTCTCGTGCATTTCATTTATCGCATAGATACATGGAGAAAAACAGCCTCGTAACCCTGTCACCGGATCAGTTCCAAGGCCTGTCCAAATTGAAAGACCTGTAAGTAAACCTACCAATTTTATATGAACGAGATGGCGGACGGAAATTATTCCTAACTGCACTAGTAAAAATTCTTGACCTTACACGAGATATCTGATCATCTGTAATAAATGTTCATAAGCGGCTGTCTTATTATTTGGTTCATTTAAATTTTCTGTTAGAGGATGTGGGATTGCGAGAGAAAAAAGAACATATACTTTAGGAATAAGTAATTCCTAATTATAAGTTAAATTGTATCTGTGGCGTGGTACAAAGAGTGAGCAGATTTTTTCCCTCACCCACCCATGGTTTCTTTGAATTACTCAACCTCGTGTACCTTGGCTGGCTTAGATTTAGACGCCTTGGAGGTTACCAAAGTCACGTTTGACGTTGCTCGAGTTTTAAGTTCCTATTACATCCAGGATAGCAACTGTCAACTCTGATCTCATTGGCATGATGTCACATGACAGAAAAAAAAAAGACATATACTAAAAGGATGTAGCAATTCTTTCCCATACATAAATCAGCGCGTACTCATACTCGGATTAAGCAAGGCAACCGCTATCTGCCATTACCTAATTTTTTAAGTAGTCCCAAGCAGTGAGGCATTTTCAATCTTCTTTTTAGCGTCACATAGTGTATAAAGATGTTTTTGTGATAAGACATGGAAGAGTCAATAAAGCTATTAGAATTTTTTATTTTTGCAATGGAAGTTTGCTTCTAGAGTTTTCTGTACTTTAAGTAATAATGACCTGACCTCTTTGTCGTTCAAGGGCTGTTTATGAGAACAATATTCAGTACCTGCCGCGTGGAGTTTTTAACGGCTTAACAAACATGCAGTCTATGTAAGTCTTTGTTCCTCATTAGCATTTTTGAAGGTGTAGTCTGATCGTCCGGGTGATTGTAGTCCTGAGAAGGACTGTTGTCGGTGGTAGTGACTGACGTCTCGACAACCTGTGCGGAAGTCATCATCAGAGTCAAGTGACTCAGACTACACCTTCACATCTTACCCCAGGGTTCAAACCATTTACTGCATTAGCATTTTAATCGACGTTAGTGAAGCTCTGCAAAACTGGGGTCTTTTGAAAGTGCAGTCGTCGGCATTTTCTGCATCTCCGTCATTTGAGCAGGTTTTGTCAATAATTACGCACGAGTGATCACGATTGACAGCGAATGACCACGAGTGACCACTAACAACCAAGGGTGACCATTCACAACCACGAGTGGCCACGCGTGATCAAGAGCAAGAAGTCATAAATTTGGCTGACATCATAATCTCATTATCATCAGGTGACTTCATCCAAAAATTGTGATTTCAAAGTAGATAAACCATTCCCGGAGGCTGACAATGTATCGCTTCCTTCATTGAAATGACAGTTCCCAGATCTACTTCGCTATCAAAAACTGTTACGTGATGAGCCCGTTTCCGCCCAGTTTACTAAAACAGAAGGAAGGGAGTTAGGGAAATGAATGGCAAAAAGATGAGCATTAAATGCCAAAAATACGTTAAAATATGAAATAAGAGATAAAAGCAAAACAACAAAAAAGGCAAAGATGAAAAGTTGACGAAGAAGAGTGACGAGTGTTTAAAACTGGATAAAAG